TTTTTCTCTGGGGCCTTTTCTTTCTTTCTTTTCTTTTTAAACTATACCAGAAATGTTACATCACAGTTTTTATACAAAGTAGGACCTTCCATCCTTTTTGTATTATAATAACCTTCAGAAGCCTATTCCCCTTAAAGTCTGTTGTTCTTGTTTTAATCATCACCACATGTAAATGTTTTAGCTTTATCTTAAACCGTGAGTCTTCATAAAATTGTGTCCCTCCGAGTTCACCTTCTAGAACTTTATTGATTAATTCTACTGTATTCTGCTACACCAGCAGACACATGTTCATAGAATATGATTATTTTAAAAGAACAAGGTGGTTTCATGTCAGAGAACTCCCTAAGCATTTGTTCCCCAAACCTTTCATGTTTTTCAAGAAGCCTTTATTACATAAAAGGGAATAGAATTAAAATGTTTCTTTATAAGAAAAATATATATATTTATGTTCTTGGCCCCATTAAAACTAGTTAGTAGTCCTTTAGCAAAGATACAGTCAACAAGAGAACTGAGTATGGGTCCAGGCATTACTCCTGTTCATAGTTGCGGAGGCATGTGTCTGAGTGAGCCAGACTGTCTCAACTGGAGTCTCTTGGGTTATAGCAGTAAACCCATGTATTCCGTGAAACCACTGGCCCCGTCATCAAAAGGTTTCCACTTGTGGTGCCACAATTGCTTATTACTGAGTTTGAGTTCCAAGATGACTGGCAACTTCTGAAATAATCTCATTGAGGGGAAGAGTTTCATTTTTTTTTTTTTTTTAAATAGAGTTTGCTGGAGGAAAAGAAGCATGTTAAATGTTTTTAAGCAGCTGAAAGTCCTAGATGGAAGCATATCAGGATGTTTCGGTGCTTATCTCTTAGTAAACCTACTAAAATTCTTATTGAAAAATGTTGAATAGGGCTGGGTGTGGTGGCTCACGCCTGTTATCCATGCACTTTGGAGGCCAAGGCGGGCGGATCACCTGAGGTCAGGAGTTCAAGACCAGTCTGACCAACATGGTGAAACCTCGTTTTAAAATAAATAAATAAATAAATAAATAAGAAAAATGTTGAATAAACACACAAAAAAGTATTGGAGAAAGAGAAAAACCCTAAAATGACAGTAGAGGTATGTGACAGTTATTGCTTTCAATTTTACATAATATTGCCTTACAAACAACCTAATTATTCATTGCTCTGTGAAAATAAAAGGATAAAATAAGATTTTGTATGTACTATAAGAATACAGTTGTGCTGTATTTTTATGCATTCATCAAGGAGCAAAATGTTCTGCTTTAGTAAATTATGCAGGTAACTGAAGTGTTATTCCTTTAAAGAGCAAAGTAATGCATCACCATGTTTGGTGGAAATTTTCTAAGTATTTATTACATGCTTAAGGATTAGCTGACAAGATATACCAAACATGAAAACCTATAAAACTGAATAAAATGCCAAAATACGAACATCACACTATGGAGATTATGCCTCACTACTCAGAGTGTGGCTCAGGAACCAGTGTGTGTAGCCCTGCACTGATAGTTTGCTAGAAATGCACAGTCTCAAGCCTGCCCCAGACCAGCTGATGTTACCAAGAACCCCCCCAGGGGATAAGAACAGACATTAAAGACTCAAGGGCCGAACATGGTGGCTCACACCTGTAATCCCAGCACTTTGATAGGCTGAGGCAGGCAGATTGTTTGAACTCAGGAGTTCAAGACCAGCCTGGGCAACAGAGAGAGATCCCTGCCTCTACAGAAATACAAATCAGCCAGATGTGGTGGCCCACACCTATGGTCCCAGCTAGTTAGAAGGCTGAGGCAGGAGGATTGCTTGAGCCCCGATCAAGGCTGCAGTGAGCCGTGATCATGCCACTGCA